CGCCTCGTAGATCTGCTCCTTCACGAAATAAACCTCATCGCCGTGTCCCATCTCACTGTAAAGGAGTTTTACAAAGGAATAGGTTTCGACGTGCGCGTGGTTGCCGTCCAGCACCATTTCGACGCATCCTTCCTCCCCGTAGTACTGGATCTCCACCACGGGCGTCATGTCCAGCTTGGCCCCCAGCGCGAAGAGCGTGGCGTCCGAGGAAGTGGCCAGCGCCTCGGGGACAAACTCGCCGTAGTCCAGCATGCATATCCTGTAGGAGAATGAGAAATAACTGGAAGGAGGAAAGATTACATGGAAGTGGAGTAGAACAGTGCAAAAAAGTAGATAGTTGAATAAATAAATAAATGCCTTCTCGGAAAAAGATAAACAAGATTATTTGATGAAATTGAAATGGTCAAATGCAACTCGGCAATCAGTTCCATCAAGAGTCCAAACAGGGGGCGTTAATGGGGAGGGGGTGGGGGTAACGATTGCCTTCAAGACCCTGCCCCCCACAAGATCTGGCTTACCCTTCGATGGTCCACATTTTTTTCACTATATTATACCAATATAGGTCCGGTTTATAGCTTAACAAATGTTCATAGAATAACTATGTTTTCTGGATTTTTGTTCGCTCCGTTGTCTACCTATCATTGCCCCCCACCCCCACCCCCACCCCTCCACCCCCCCAAGAAAAGCTTGAAATGACGCCTCTACAAATACAAATTATACCTGCAAAATGTTTTTTTTAAGACAACGACTGTTTCTCATCCAAGGTAAAAATAATGTAATGATATAATAGTTATCATATTTCAGTTATTCTCTACAAAGATGTTAAGTAATAGTGAAACGTAAGAATAAGCAGGATGTGAGGACGACAAGAAGATATGTAAATATTGGAACTCCTATAATGGCTACTATTAATGTCGCTACAGTTATCATTCACCACATTATCAGTTATTACTCATGTTTTTTATCAGTTATCATCCATCCCTATCGATAAGTTATTTATCACTATTCATCTGTTATTATTCATAAATATTTATCAGTTATCAATTATCACTATTTATGAGTTATCGTCAGGTATATCACCACAAATACAATATACGAGCCATAAAAGAGAAATAGAAATAGAAAAAATAGAAATATCCCTGAATCCCGCCACGGACGAAATACACCCCAAAAATGAAAAACAAGGAAAAACGAACCTAAAATCAAATAAGAATGACATATACACGACTGATAGTTATTTTTACTTTAATCATTGACTACCTATAGCCAAAACAAAAATTGAAAGAAAAAAGGAAACATAACCCGAGCCCCCATAATAATGATAATGGTAATAATGATGATGATAATAATAATAATAATAATAATAATAATAATAATAATAATAATAATA